ACTGTAGGAGCATGCTTGTATTCTCACTCAGATGGCAGGCAACAGGGGTAGGAGGATAAAACGTACCTTGGGAAACACCTGATTTAGTAGTACTGGAAGGAAACCCAGTTCAACACGATCAACTTTGATGAAAGGGAAAACCCAGGCCTGGGGCATTTTCTTTCTTTCTTTTTTTTTTTTTTAAGGATTCTTAAGTAATCTTAAACGTGGGGCTCAAACTCACAACTCTGAGATCAAGAGCCACACTGTTCCACCTACTGAGCCAGCCAGACGCGCCAGGACCTGGGGTAGTTTGAGGCTACCCACTTCAAGACTAAGAGCACTGGCATGAGCCCTGTTCATGGTTTCATTTGGGGTATAATGGCATCTGGCCCACAGGAAAATGATTACAGAAAGATTTGCTTTTTGATCATTCTAGACTCTGCAGGACATGCTTTTGGGGTTCTGCACAAACTGCACAGTGTGGTGTAGCAAGAAACGCATTGGTTCAGACCTGGGTTCTGTCTTGAGGGGTCAGGGCAAGATAATTAGCTCGGCTGAGCCTCAGTGTTTTTTTTTTTTTTTTTAAAGATTTATTTATTTGAGAGAGAGAGAGCACGCGAGAGCAGAGCGAGCACACGAGTTGGGGGTTGGGGCAGAGGGAGAAGCAGACTCCTCCTTGAGCAGGGAGCCCAACGAGGGGCTCGTTCCCAGGACCCTGGGATCATGACCTGAGCCTAAGGCAGATGCTTAACCAACTGAGCCACCCAGGCACCCCTGAGCCTCAGTTTATCTGTAAGAATGTGGAGTTTAATGATCTACACATAGAGCTGTTGTGGAGATTAAATGAGGTATGTAAAAGCATTCCATGAAGTGTTATGCAGATAATAGCTAACAGAATTTATTTTAGTATTCTACAGTCAGCTCAATTTAATGTCCTCTCCCATTAATATTTTTATGCTTTGTGTTTTTTTTTTAAAGCTCTACACCCAACGTGGGATGGGGTTTAAACTCACAATCCCATTATCAAGAGCTGTGTATTTTATTAACTGAGCCAGCCAGGTGCCCCTGCTTTATTGTGTTCTATTTTTCAAATTATAACTTAGAAATAATTTCAGGCTAAGTTGCAAAATAGTACAAAAAATTCCCCATATACTATCTATTCAGATTCCACAAAATATAAGTCAATTTCAAAAAATCATTTAACACTGATATAACCTATGATAGTATATAGCCTATATACTCACCAATTACCCTACTCATGTCCAATTTCTGGTCCAGGATTGAACTGAGGACAACATGCAGCACTTATTTATGTCATCTTCATTTCCTTTATCTGGGTATTCCTTAGTCTTGGTCTTTCATCATCTTTATACATTTTTTTAAAGTAGGCTCCATGACCCACATGGGGCTTGAGGGGCACCTGGGTGGCTCAGTTGTTAAGCGTCTGCCTTCGGCTCAGGTCATGGTCCCAGGGCCCTGGGATCGAGCCCCACATAGGGCTCCCTGCTCCGCGGGAAGCCTGCTTCTCCCTCTCCCACTCCCCCTGCTTGTGTTCCCTCTCTCACTGTGTCTTTGTAAAATAAATAAATCTTAAAAAACAAACAAAAAACCCAAAAAACACATGGGGCTTGAACTCATGACCCTGAAATCGAGAGTCGCACGTTCTACCAAGTGAGCCAGCTAGGTGCCCCAATCTTTGTATTTTTTTTTCTTTTAAATTTTATTTTTAAAGATTTATTGGAGAGAGGGAGAATCCTAAGCAGACCCCCCCCCCAATTAAGCAGAGCCCGGTGTGAAGCTCAATCCCAGGACCCTGAAATCATGACCTGAGCCGAAGTCAGACACTTGGCTGAGCCACCCAGGTGCTCCATTAAATTGTTTTTAAAATCTGCTCGTTTACTATTGTTTTTTTAAGTCAGCTCTACACCCAATGTGGGGCTTGAACTCCTATAACACCAAGATCAAGTTGCATGCTCTACCACCTGAGCCAGCCAGGAGCCCCCATGATCTTTGTAATTTTGAAGATTACTGGTCATTGTGTAGAATTATCCCTCAGTTTTGGTCTATCATGCTTTCTTATGGTTAATATTAATAATTAGCATTAATATTGTGATGGCTTGTTTATTCATGCCATCACGGGTGGTATAATGATGGAAATAGTGTCCTGGTTAAGTGTATGGACTCTAGTCAGAATACCTAGGTTCAAAATCTGGCTTTGAGAGGGATGCCTGGCTGGCTCAGTTGGTGCAGCATGTAGTGAGTTCGAGACCCATGTTGGGTGTAGATTCCTGAAAAAAAAAAAAAAAATCTGGGGCTCCTGGGTGGCTCAGTCGGTTAAGCAACCGACTCTTGATTTCAGCTCAGGTCATGTTCTCAGGGTTGTGGGATTGAACCCCACACTGGGCTCTGCTTTCAGCACGTAGTCTGCTTGAGATTCTTTCCCTGGCTCCTCCTGCCACTCGTGTGTGCACTCATGCACGCTCTAAAGTAAATAAATTAAAAAAAAAAAATCTGGCTCTACCAGGTAGTGCAGGGTGGGACTGCTTAAAGCTTAAAGGTTGCTTTTCTCCTAAGTACTATTATTGGAAAAACACTGTTTTCTTTACAGCTCTCTTATGTGTATCCATCTTTTCTCTCCACTTGCCCCACGAGTCCGTAGAAGTATCTTCCTGGAACAAGGGCCCCTTGCTAAGGGCAACCAACCTTCCAGGCTTGCCTGGAACTTCCCTAATGTCAGTAATTAAAGTTCCATGACCTGAAAGACCTTTCGGTCCCCAGCTGAGATGGTGTGGTATGCTGAGTAACAGCCCTCCAAAGATGTCCATGTCCTTCCTAATTCCTGGAACCTGTCAGTGTGTCACCTTACCACGGAAAAAGGGACATTGCAGATGTGACTTAAAGATCTCGAGATGGAGAGATTATCCTGGATTATCCACATGGATCCGACATAATCACAGAGGGAATGCAGGAGGGTCCGATTCAAGAGATGTGACAGTGGGAGCAGAGAGATTTGAAGATGGACCAGGAAGGGATCATGAGACAAGTAATCACATTTTTTTTTCTTCAAGATTTTATTTGAGAAAGAGAACACAAGCCGGGGCGGGGGGTGAGGGGCAGGTAGGAGGGGTAGAGAGGGAGAAGCAGGCTCCCTGCCAATGTGGGGCTCGTTCCCAGGACCCCAAGATCATGACCCAAGCCGAAGGCAGACGCTCAACTGACTAAGCCACCCAGGCGCCCCATCACAAAACCTTCTGAAAGCTGGAAAAGGCAAGGGAGCAGCTCTCTAGGGAAAACACCCCCTGATTTTAGGATTTCCAGAATTATTATACATTTGTGTTGAAAACAGAACGAAAAAAACCTGGCTCTACCAGACAGTGTGACCTTGGTTTGTGACTCAGTTTCTTTATCTGTCAAATGGAGGAACATGAGTACCTACTTCATAGGACTGTTTGAATTATGAGAGGCACGAATATCCGTCGTACGTCATTAGAACAACACCTGGCACACAGTAAGTGCTGTTTAAGTGTTAACCGGAGGTAGTTGTGATTTTAGTGGCTTTACTGGAAGGAGGTACATCCTGGCAAATTGACGAAGAGACCAAAGCAGTAGCGAGCATTTTAACCATGAACATCCAACAAGCAAAGAGCCAGGGCCAAAGACCCTCTGGTCCACCAACAAGTGCACTGTCCCTTTCAGCCAGAGGCCGGCTCCTAGCACCTGCTCTTGAGGCTCAGAAGATGAGGACTTGCTTGAGCCCCAAGCAGTATTTCTTCAGCATAATAGGTCCACATACTAGGAACCGAGCCCGTGTTTCCTTGCCCAAAAGTTGCTGGGAAGATGTGTCAAATTAATTTCACAAAGTTGTGAAATAATTAGCCCCTGTTTTTCTGACTATTTCCAGAACTCAGGCCTTCAAGCTTCATTAGTATGCGTCCAGCACATCAGCCATGGACACATCCACTGAATAACCATAGTGATAACCTCAGCCCCTAACCTTTGCATGTGCTTCTTGTTGAAGGGGCCAAACCACTCAGACCCTCACAATACTTACTTGACTGGCCAATCCTGGGTAGACTCAGCAGTGAGGCAGCTCCCCGCAAAGCTGGATGGGGGAAGGGAAGGAAGCTTGCACAGACTAATTCCAAGAAAGTAGAAAGAATCTACCATAGTTACATCTCTAAAAATTTGGTAAATGACAACTACTCGTTAAAAAGACCAAAGCAATAAAACATCCCTTAATATAAAAATAGCAATGATTTCATCTGAATAACAAATGATATTTCACAAAGCAGTTTTGATCCCTTTACCTCGTTTGACCACCCCGACCTCCAAGACACCATTTTACAGGCAAGAAGAGGACCGAGAGGAAAATAGCTCGAAGTGACAACGCTGAAACCTTTAACTCATGTCTCACCTCCAAATACAGCACATTTCCCACTTACCAAAAAATAAAAAGGAGACACCTGAAACTAATATAACACTGTATATTAACTATGCTGGAATTAAAATAAAAAAACTTAATTAAAAAATAAAAAGGAAATTCACTAAATGTAGGTCAAAGACTTAACATGATCAGAAGGCTACACAAACATGGAGACTTAATGAAATGCAACCAGCCATGGTGGAGAAACTTTAGTTTTTTACGCGTGCGCGCGCACCTTTGAACTAAATTTCAAGCGACTGTAGAATCGCTGCATGTTTGGATACTTAAGAATCAAATGATTTCAATGAGATGGAGACACAGACCATATATCACACTACCTCCAATGTGTGGGCAGCAGAAAGCACACTGCCAAGCATACACTAGATTTTCAATATGTATTTACTGATTTGGCTGCACTTTTCTCTATCAAAACTCCCACAAAAACTGTAACCTCCCCAAATTAGGTATTGCCCTAAAATGCCAGTTGAACGCATAAACAGGCAAAGAGAAAATTAAAAAACTATTCCCCATCACCATATTGCTTCCGTATTTTTATGTCAAACTGAGACCTTTCCAAAAAAAAGAGGCTAAAATATCATATCATACCAAAGTTTATTGATACATCAAACAAAAATTTCTGTAATGAAAAAGGCAAGTTGCATTCATAAAAGATGGCATTCACAGTCATTATAGAAAGCAACGACATAGATGTAAAAAATTGCTTAATTGAAAAATGTAATTTTGCAGTCCCATTTTGCAAGCTGAAAAATGATTTTGTTAACACTTGCATAAAATCTGCACATTTATATACTGCATGTTATTAAAAAATTCCATCACTAAATTATTATGAATTTTGCAAATTTAGGCCTACATTTATACTGTTGCTGGTGTAGATGTTGTAGATACGGAATCTATGTTTTACGTTTAGTAGGTTACACCTTCAAACAATGGACAACAGTTGTGAAAATTACAAGGACATCTTGATAGTTCAAAGTTGTTCAAATGATGGATATGTGATCCCATTATTACATTTTTCCCCATTCTCTGTCACAAAATAAGGTGGTTAGGTTGTAGTGCTAGGAATACTGTGGAAAGGCTTACTTTGAGTGATTAGATCTGCTAACCCATGCTAGCCAATTTTTAGCTCATTAATAAAATATCTTTCAAAAAGGAAAGTCAGGTCCCTCTCAAGGATCTAGGTCATGATTTTCACCGTCGTGAATTTGAGCTACAGTGTAACGTGTAGCTGAGACAGGACTTTAAATCCCCCTTAGTCACCTTTCTTCCCGGCTGCGAGGAATTTTACATGCCACCAGTTACATTTCCACTGCCCTGGATGTTCTGATTATGGCAATCTCCAATGGTTTGTGCTCAACGAGCCTCTCTCTATATTGTGGATCTCTCATTTGTATTCACAGTCCCTATAGTACTTATGTGAAACAACAATAACAACACAGGAACGACTATACCACGAACAAGAACAACAAAAAACATCAAAAGCTTTCCTGGGTCTGATTTTTTTTTTTTTAGCTCTTTGGAATAGGCAAAGAATACACAGACTTTGTTTTCAGTAGATTACCTCAAATACAGGCGACCAGAACACAGCACACTTGGGTAAGCTGTGAATGACATCTAACAAAATACTCAAAAATAATACTGATAGATGAGAACAAATGAAATAATGAAAAAGGGGCATAATGATGGATAGGTTTCTGATATCTGAAATTATGTCCTTCCTAGAATTTAAGAAAAATTACACCTGAACATTAACACAAAATATATATGGAAGAATCAAATGTGCCATGTGGACCATATAAATACACTGGTACAGATTGAATTCAATACTTTTCTAAATCAAGGTATGATATGAACACTAATAATAGTACAGGCATGCCAGAAAGACAACCAAAAATGGAAACTGGTATGAAAACACTTTTTTTTTTTTTTTAAAAAAAGGAATCTCTATGCCCACTGTGGGGCTCAAACTCATGACCCCAAGATCCAAGAGACGCATGCTTCACTGACTGAGCCAGCCATGCGCCCCTGAAAACATTTTTAAGAGCCCATTTCAATCTAGTAGTCAAATGTAGCCATTTATATCCAAAAAAAGTGTGTTTAACATTTAATAAAAACATTTCACATTTATGTTTATGTTTTAAGTGAACTCATTAGGAGGCTAAAGCCTCCTTCTAGTCCAGTAAGTTGAGGACTTTACCAAGGTGAATCTCATGGTTTAAAGTTAGACCATCACCCAACCATGTTTGCTAAGAGAGAAAACATTCATGTTCAGAGTCACAGCTCTGCAGGTTGAATCACCACCGTCTTGGGATGGATCCCTCTTTCCCAAATTGGCAAGTTAAAAAAAAAAAAGTGCTGCATGTATGCACAAAGACAGCCTCTTTCAAAAAATAACCATTAACAGTTATAAGCTATTTTTCCCCTCTCCACAAAAAATTATAGAAGATTGATGTTCAGATGGCTTTATTTTTTATGTAACTATGGTTTTGCCTATCTCACCTCAGATCCCAGTAAAACTAATATTGGAAAAAATCTGTTTTATCTTCATTCTCTTGACGGGCTACTTACTAAGCGATTGGAAATGTTTTTATTTTCAAATCCAGTAGCCACACACCCATCAAGTGGGATTTAATTCAGAAGAACAAAAATAAAATGAGCCATTTTTTTGATTCTCACAAAAATATCCAGGATGAACATTCTTTCCACATAAGGGTTCAAGGTATTTTTTGGGCAAGGATATTCTATGAAGACAAAATTAGCATGTGGGTGAACAGAAAGGATTAACCATTTAGTCTTCTTGTATGTTCAAGTATTCCTTTCATATATTTGAAAAAAAAATAATTTAAGATGATCATTCAGCAGGAACAAGAAATGTGATCCAAACAGCCTATTTCTTCTGCCAGGCAAAAAAAGTAAGATTAGCAAAGTCTATTCATTCCCATTGTATGACTTCTACTTTATACTATTATATTTAGATCCATTCACAGAGTTCATGGGTTAAAGGAGCACCCATTGGGTAGTTATATTATTCTATCTAAAGCCAGAAATTCTAATTATTGGTGCTTTCAACTTTCACATGATTCATAACTTAGAGCTTTGGCCATAATGGCTACTTAACAATAACTGCAAATGCTTGAGAGAGTCATTTGGTATTTTAATGGACATTGATTCTGAACCCTAGACATGAGAGTGGTTTAATTTGTTGCATATTGAGTATCCTGAGATGATAACTTTTTGTAGTTGTTTCTTCCTGCTTTCTTTTTTAGCTGTAACCATTGTCAATATGCTTGTAGGACAATAACATAGGCAGTTCAAGATTCGGATTCTGAAAAATTTAAAATATACAGAGTTAAAAGGTTTATTTTAACAATAATGTGAAGCCATCTGTTTAGCATTTTCAAAAATAAATCAAGTAGTAAATTTTGTAATGAGAGTAAAGGAATGATTTTAAAAGTGCCAAGTTTTATTCACATGCAGGGGAAAAAAAAGTGACACAATAACCAGTTTTTAATCCTTTCTTCATTTGTTAGCTGAATAGATTCAGACTTGCTTTTTGCTTTTGGAATGCTCCAGGGCTCTCCTGTCACTGTTCCCATAAGGACTCTAGTCCATGAGCTCCTTGAAAACAGGGACATTTTATTCTCCTATCTCCAGCACCTAGCCTAGTGTCTGTCTGGCACATAGCAGGTACTCAGGACACGTTGAATGAATGAATTGATTACTGTTTTTTTTTGAGGATATGTAAATTTTGACAGAGGAAGTCTAAAGACATACTCAGTTTTGAAAGGCTGTTGTAAAAGTATTTTTCCTTTACTGAAAGCAACATGTTTCTTCCCCATATAACGCTGAAGTTCATTTTCTTTTTGGTAGATCACATATCTATGAGTCAACGGATGCTTCTGTTTGTCTTATCATCTTTTTAGAAAAGCGACCACCAAAATGTCCCGAAATCTGTAGATTCTTCTCTGTCCTCTGAACATTATCAAATGCTATTACAGGGATAGGGCGTGGTAGGCCACCTGATCACAGAGTATAAATCAGGTATGTTGAGAAGTGGAACTCTTTGGTGTTGGGAGGGAGCCTTTCATTCTACACTCTAAAATCCAACCTTTTAAAACAGGAGTAGTGGAGGGCCTTAAGGGGTTTGCTATTTTCTTCCCATTTTGGTGCACCTTCCTTGCCATGACTGGACTAGAAGTCCTCTAGAATACGTTCCACTTCTTTCATGTTCCCTATTTTCCTAAGAGTCCTTCAGGTAGCAGGGTCATGGTGACTAAGCCTAACCAAAATGAGGTTGCTGTTCACATTGAGAACTTAGAAAAGGAGTCACACAGTTCTCTCATAAAGGGACAAACTCGGTGGCTGAACTCCTTGCCAAATATTTTCCTCGGAGGAAAAATAAGGCTACACGAAAAGATATTCGTGGAAGAAAGAACCACGTTAAAACAATTGTTTAAAAAATGAAACTTCCTCAATTCTATGTTCCTCATCCTTTGTCACTGTAGGATTTTAGGCCCTGGAGAGGCCAAAAGCAGAAGCAGTGTCTGCTACCCAGCCTAGTCTCCCAAACCACAGACCAAGCTAAAGAAAGCAATCCAGGGGGATACAGAATTAGTTGGCAACAGTATAGCTAAAATGCACCATACAGCTTAGGACAAGGCCATCCGGGACAAAAGGGTCAAAGACTTTGAAGGCTACCAGGAAGCAGATCATTACTGAGGGAAGATATAAGCAGGTGAGTCACTCAATATGGGGAAAAAGATGCTGACTGGGGCAAAATGAGTCTGCTTCCCAAAGAATACCGTGGATGCAGGCTGTGATAAGGCGTAGGAGATAGAAGAACCAAAGTATTCATGCCATTAGCTTAATTTTTATTCTTTGCTCGGGGGCGGGGGGGGTTGACAGCTGACAAAAACATGGGCCTATGAGGAAGACTCACACTTGTTAGCTCTAAAGAGAACTGAACTGCAATTTCATTCCTGATGATCACTAATTTTTATGTGTGCATGAAAGATGGCCCTGCCCTAAGCTGTACTGAGTTTTTTCCAAGCTGGTAAGCTTGTAAACTTCATTCACGAATTACTCTGAATTCCTACGGGTGGAACAAGGGCCTCTCAAGGTCTGGGATGACAGAGGCCCCAGCAGTGGGAAACAAAATACACACAGAGGAGTCATTCTGAGTTCAAGGACTCCTCCCCATGGCTTATCAATTCTTCCCGACTATTTTTTGGGGGTAAATGAAACAATAGGTTATAAAACGAATTCACTCATTTTTGGAAAAAACAGTTCTGAAGCATTCTACATAATTAGGCTAGCATCCCCCTGAATAGCTAGGAAAGATTTTACCTTTATCTCTGAAAGTTGAAACATTTAGCTTGAATAAAACTTGACATTAAAAAAAGTGATTAGATTGGTTCATTAATTTTGGGGATCAGACATTTACGAGTATATTAGGTGTATACCTGCAAACACACAGACACGGCACATGGAGGTACAAACACACTGGATTATTTCCACATACTTCCCAAAAGAACATGCAATGCTTAATCGACTTGATATTATACAGATGCAATTTTGGAATATTTATTTTCAATTTTCTAAATGATCTTTTAAAATCCAAATGGAATTTCCTAATCAGTATTAACGAATACTGCCATGACAACTTGCCCCTTACAAATTCAGTGTATTTTTATTGTATTTTTATTGCCCTTCAAGTTCTGCAAAATGCCTAACATTTTGTTTGGGGGCTTAACAAATTTCAAATATAGATTTTCCCATATTCCAAGTAATGCATCTTTATATTTTTTTGTAAAGAACTGTATAAAGTTCACCACACCAACAGCAGAGAAAATTTAGAGAGTGGTATTTTCATTTTTTTCTTTATAATGCTGTTAATCTGTTTCTTTAAAAGCCAGCCCGCTTGTTTAACACTAGGTACCTGTTACAATATATTAGATTCATCTGAGAATGTTCGTAAAAGAAGAGGTCTGACTGAAGGTCTGGCGGATAATGAGTCAGATGCCCTTTTACAGCTCAGATTTCTCTGTAATAGTGAGGTAAAGATACTTAAAGCATTTGAAGACTGGTTAACCTACCTGGTGATAAAAACGTAGAAGAAAAAAAATCATTTCCTATAGACTACTCTTTTGGCCAAAAGTACAAATGATTACACTACAGCAAATGCATAACATTTAAATGAATACATTGAAAGACCTAAGAAAGTCTCCAACTCGAACTGAATTGTTTTCATGGTAGAAGTATGCAGATATTAGTAGTATATGGCAAACTGGGGTTTTTGAAATGACACCAGTAGGTTGGTTATGTGGTAGATGAGTCAATATGGTTTGATTAGTAAACCTTACCATCCTTTTGGTGAACACCTCTGAGAGTTGTGCTGGTGCGTGAGTGTATCGAACAAAGAGAATTTGTGCAAAACATTCCTGTCTTGGTGAACAGACTAGCCGTGGCTTCTACCGCAGACCAGGAATCAATGGGACTAGAGATTCACAGTCCAAACATTTGAAAAGCACTTCCTCTCCAGTGTGACAATTTGAGAAGGTGAACAAATGATTAAAGGAAAATGACAAAATACTCTTTAAGTATCAATAGAAGATATAAAAATGAGTAATGAGAAGTAATTTTTCATAAAGAGTCAGAAAATGGTGTCAAGCAAATGAGAATGCAAGCAAGTTGGTACATTAAGAAAGGAAATCACCTTATTCACTCCAAGAGAAACTGTGATTGCTGGAAGTTTGAGAAAGCATGAAGATAGTAGATGTTCCTGAGGAAGGGAGGCGTTTCGTTACCTTGATCACAATTGCACAAAGGGTGGAAAATTGCAGTAGAAGAAAGAGAAATGCAGAAACCAAAAAAAAAAAAAAAAAAAAAGTAAATATTCTCTGAAATGTAAGACATTTAAAAAGAAACCTTGAGAATTTGAAGTCGAAATGACATTAGTTTTGAAGGCATTACTCTCTGAAGTAACAGTCGAGTTAGAGTTAGGAATAGTCTCTATTATATGTGCAAACTACTATTTCTCTGTTTAACAGTTTAAAATTATTTTGTAAATGGGAAGATTGACTATTTAGAATAAAATAATTTTAAAATATGCTTCTCATTAAGGCTTATTTCTAATCATTAATTCACTAACCTACATTGTTCAGAATCCATTGGTCAGAGGGCTATGTTCAGGGTCCATCGGCAATCTAATTTTGAAGGAACTCTATGTCCTATCCAATTGAGCAGATACAATATGAAAGGACTGACTGCTCTTGGGCCCTTACAGGTTAAAAGCCTAACAAAACTAACGTAACGGGAAGACATCTGGTGAAACCACACTTCAGTTCCATTTACCGCTGGACCCATGCTTAACTTCCTTTATTCTAACATAATTTCTTTGGTTTCCCCCTTTTCTTACAGAGACCTCTTTAAAAGGGTAGGCTAAAGAGCTATGAATTTCTCCTTTAAAATGCCTAGAAAAAGTAAAAATTGATAACTTAGAGTTTAATCAGAAAACCCAACAGGTTATTGTTTTTCTTTCTTATTCCATGCCTGAAGTTATAAGCTAAGTCACAGACTTGGTTTTGGCATTGCCCAAGCAAAACAGAAGACGAGCGGTCAACTACAGGGACGAGTTTAACAATTCTGCTAATTAAGATTACCCATATTATCCACTTAGTGACTAACAAAATTAGGTGTTAAAAAAAGAAACCAGCTAAAGTATCGTATGTATCTAGCAGAGTCTAATTAACAATAAAACTTTTAAAGGCAAATACTTTGACTTATTCATATGTTTTAACATAACTGTATTTTTTTCCTGTTCATATTTTACCTTAAATAAAGTTGGTGACATGTTGGCAACATGCAAATTACCAATATATAGTTTCTGAGAAAAAAAATTTAAATTGTTCTGCCTTCTATTTTGTGGGCGAAGATCTCGCAACAAGATTAACACGATACCAAGTCCCCCACCCCCATGTTTAATATACAAGCCTAATTATTTAAGACTGCAACTATAAGCACATTTTGGTGCACTCAAAACCTTACATCCAACCGTCAGAGATAAAAGTACTTCTATGAAGCAGAAATTTTAGAGGTTAATAGATTAAGTTACTTTATAAAGGAAAAAGAAAGGGAATATGAAAGTACAGAAGGCAGTAGAGAGCATGGAAAGAGTATCTGAAGCAATCAAAAACTCATATAGCCAGCAAGTGGTGGGGGGAGGAGAAGTGGAGAGAAAGAAGCGAGATAATGAGCTAAAAGAGGATGAAATTTCCACATTCCTTTGCAGTCATCTAGAGAGCTTTGACACCAGCTCAGGCTCAATGAGCAGTATGTCAAAGAGGCCAATGCATAAAGGTCCATCTCAACAGCCACAAGTTAGGATCCAACTTTTTGTCTAATCCAGTTAACAGGGCCATTATCCTTAGAACCCATGGTTGTATGGGACACTGTCAGAATTGCAATAGCAATCATCCTTGGCACCATTGTTATTAAAAGGTAAGTTATATTATCCAAAATTTTCAAAGTGCTTTCTCTGGGAATTTTGCTCAGACAGCTGACATTCTTCCTTTTCCTGTCCTCTACTCTGAAAGAGCTCCCTCCAGAATGGAGTATTTCTTCTTGTTTGTGCAGACATCCCATGCTAGGCATGGCCATGTGGCTAGGTCTATTCCCATTAGATTATAGTATTCCAGGGTCTAGTAGGCAAAGTCAAGCCTCCCTTCTGATAGTGGTAGTTTACATGGGAAAACTTCCATAAAGTTTGGAGGAGAAGTCCTCCATTGGAAATGGGAAGTGGTATTTACTACTTGGCCAGAAAGTTTAGGTGTTACTTCACTGATTATGAGAGAGCCCAACAACTGTGCTAGGAGGAGACTACAACTTTTTGAAATACCAGATATCCTAAACTTTAAATTTCCTTTCAAGTGTTATCTTGCTGTTCCACTGTTCGGTGCTCAGTGGCGGTTTCACCATAGCCTGTCAGGAGCACGGTGATGTAGCTTTGTCAATTTATAAGCTAAAGAAAAGCCTTATGATCCTTAATGACTGGATTTAACTCAAAAATTAACCACACTTGCTGAAAAGATAGCTGAGGAATAGGTAGCTTAAGCTATCCTCTGAGTTAAATGACCGAGGGAAACTATTTTTGAAGAAAGCAGAATTCTTTACAATGCTGACATCATGACAGAACTCAGCTGGGGTGGAGGCTGCCATCCCAGCCTTTATACTGGAGGCTTCAGGAGGTAGTGACTTGAAACAGCCCAGCTGTGTTACAACACGCCATATCATCGACTCTCCTATCCTTGCTTTATACCTGCTTACAGAAGAGCTCCGCATAAATCCCCTTTGTAACTTGAGAGCTCCCTGTGAGCTGGGGCCACATCTGACTCCTCCCTGAGTTACTGAAACCTAGCATAGTAGCTACCTTATAGTGGACCCTCAGGCAACGTGTGCTGAATTGAACGGAATCTGACAGAAGGCTGTTTCTGTAATTGTTAAACGTAAAAGGCTTAGCACCCTTTTCCAAACGCCAGAGACATTTTCACTACCCACTGCTGAGTTCCCTTCTGAAAGCAACTGCCAAGACCCATAGGAGGACAGCACGGGCAGCCTAGTTGCCACAGGTCTTTCTGGCTATGTGCACAAAGGATCCAAGATGCTAACCGGTTGGAGTCAAGGGGATCTTCTACCTCTAGGTAGGGACACACACTTTACCCCAGTGGGGAGCCTGTCAGGTATGAGGCTAACCCAGTGTAAAAGAATTTTTTGCCTCTCTTTAAAAGTGAGGCCAATGCCTTAGCAAGGGATATTAAACCAAGTAGGAAGTCACCCGGGATGTCAAACTGCTGGTGATGAAGATACTCTTTCTCCTTCATCTTCAAAGTGGCTTCTGCTTCTTTGATATGGCCAAACAGGGCCTTATATAAACAGATGTGACATCAGAATAGCCTTGGCTGCCAGGTTTCCGTTGGCCTGTATGCATTCATATGCACTACTTTGCTCTTGCATTTTCTCACAAGGGAAAAAAAAGGGGGGGGCAGTGCTGCTGAGTGCCCACAACTTTTTGTCTCATCTGCAACTCTGAAAAATCCTACAGTCTGAAAAACCATGTAGCCTTTCAGACATTGGATGTAAAGAGAGATGTTCATCAGTAGGCGGTTCAACACATGTTCTGGTTCAATGAGGGTAGGAATAAATGAATGAATGATCGAATGAATGAAGGTGATTATGGGAATTTTCCTGATTGTTCTAGCACACCAGCATGCCAAGCTATAGCACAGACACTAGAATTCCTCCTATCACGGACATAACCCATAGCAAACAAATTTCATGCTGAACCTCATGCTTTCAACAGAAGTTTGGAATCTCCTGTTTGCATGGAAAGAAAATGTTTTACGTCTTTATCCGTGACTGCTTTGTAGCATCCCTCCATTTAATTTATGTAAAAGTCACTGCCAGCCAGTGTCTAATTTTGTTTTTAAAAGAAAGGGCCTCGGGAAGAGGATAAAGATGGTATGTTTGAAGGTTTTGATTTCGGAGATTTTTGTATCATCTTTAGAGCATGAAGCCGGGAGTGAGCCATTACTTAGCATGAGCTCCATTAACCCAAATAAGAAAAACATTTAGGAGCATCCCAAAAGTGTACTCCCAAATAAGGGGGATAGAAGAGCACCTCAGAGATCTTTCCCAAACTGTCTAGGGTGACAAGGCACCAAACCACTTTTTCTAGGGACAATTTTTATTTGGCTTGATATAAATGGCCACTTGAGCCATTCTGGGAAAAACCTGTTGTATCATACCTGTTTTAACCCTGTTCAACTGGTATTAAGGTCTACGCAGACAAGTAAATGCCACTTTCCCATCCTAAGACTAAACAGCAGGCTGGAGGGAGTTAGTCAGGGGTCTACTGGAACTAGCTAGGCTCATATTAGTGGGTGCAGTGCAGAAACAGCGAGGTAAGGCCAGGTCTGACCACCTAACTGTACAGGAATCGGCTTGGTATACCCAAATCAATGTGGCTTATGCCAAGGGTAATCTATTGACTTTCACTGGGGCTGATACTGACTTATTGATCATGAAGGTCCTCTTTAACACAGCCAGTCACTAAAGATGTCCTCATTATAATCATTTTAGTTCCCCACATCTACATGATGCCAACCACTGGATTCTCTCAAATCAATAGGCCCAAACCAACATCAGAGAAACCAGTTTTGTGGCTAAACTGGTTGGCAAGTTTGATCGAGTGGGTCCAGGAGATACACCTTAGACTATTTCCTGAAAATATTGCCTTGGAGGGGCCATATGATCGAGTTGGTGTCAAGAGGATAAAAACAGGGTTCTGTTGGGCAAAATGAGTTAAGTGTTGGCAGGAATATGACATATTTAATTAACCTGTTGGTCAAAATTTGCCAGAAGTCTTCTTTTCCAAGCTAATCTACCCCTTTCACTTTAAAGGCTTTTTAGAAATGTTTAAAAGATACCAGACAATTAGGCTAGCAGATGGTAGTAATGTCTCAGTCCCACAAGGAATCAACAATTTAAACAGCAAAAATAAAAACACACGCATAAAACAATCTTAATTTTCGCAAGTGTGTTCAGGAGGGTAAGGATGCAGAAATCACATCCGGGGATTTCTCTTTGGTTCAAATATACTTCTGGACAGACAGGGCTAGAAGCAACACAGAGATTAAGCAGCACTATAATTAAAGGAAGGGGAAAGGTTTGAAAGAAGCAAATTGGGATTATTAACGGAAAAAAAAAATCTGCAAACAACCCACAGGGAAATTTCTAAGGTTAAAGCTGGAATGTTGGTGTGGAAATTCCTGGTGTGAAAATTCTAGGCTAAGAAAAAAACAAAACACCCCATTTTTTCCATTTAAAATTCCATATGGAGCATATGAGATACTCCATATGGATTGCTAAAGGTCACATAGAACACTATTAAGGAATCTACTTACCACCTGCATTGGATAACGAAGTTTTTACTATACTTTTTATGCAGAAGAGGAAATTAAGTGATGAACCTGTAAGGAGGGGTTTAACATGCTGTAACTAATGCAAATCTCTAAGCAAGGTTTTTAGTTCATGGCAGATACTGACGCCCCTTCCAAAAATAAACTTATAATATAAACTTAGTTCTTACCCTGGCACTTCTTCTTCTTACATTCTTTAATACTATCAGGAGAATCTCAGGGAAAAGGCTGATAAATATTAGAAGAACTATGGCCAACCATGTAGATACAGAAGACAGCATTTGAGCAAATACGAAATACATTCTCTGTTGTTTGAGAAAAGGCCTAGAGTGGAAAGAAAACACAGAATGGAAAAGAAATCAGTTCCTGTCATATGAAGCAGATGTGTAATTGAAACTATCTTTTGTATTTAAAGGGACTCTTCTAATTATACACATTAATAGAAATAATTTTCTTTAAGAATATCCCAAAAGTACTGAACAGATTTCATTTACTTAATGTTTAGGGAAAAAAGGAATGATAATTAAAGGGGAAGAATGACAGGAAAATGCATCTGACTTGAAAACAACCAAGCAATCAATTTTAAAACTGCCAACTGGAGAATATTTATTTGCGTTAGAAAATACTGGAGCTTCAAAGATATTCAAGAGCAACGGTTAATTTTTATGCTAACAAGCATTTTATTTCCTCAGCTGTTTTGTTAATATGAGAATGGACTGTGCTCTACATTCAGAAATTTAAGACATTTTTATAGGCTCCCCCCCAAAACTCTACGTAAAGATAGAAAGGACTGTTCAACTTCTCTCTCTACCATTCTTATCCACAAATATATACTGAGTATCCAGTGTGTGCCAAGTAGGTTGGCAGAAGAATACTGCTAAGAGGACATTAAGTCTTGGAGTCCAGAAATCTAGGACCCCTCGTTCTGATGTTGGATTTCATTCTAAGTCATCCACTGAACTGTTTGGTGGCCATAAAAAAGCACAGCCAGTTCCCCGAGCTGAGCCAGAGAGAGCCTCACTAGGCTAAATGTTGCTGGAAGCAGAGGGGGAGGAAGTGCAAGGTGGCTGATCAGGGTTGGGATGCACAACAGACTCTCCTTGGATTAGGAGCTCTAGGCAGATAATTCGTTGTCTCATTTATTATATTACGCACTGGGCTCACTGAAGATAAACTGGTTTCTCGTTAAAAAAAAATCGATGTTTGTGCACTCTTATGTAACGTTAATAAAATCAAGCTTTTGGCTCTAGGTGTATGGGGACAGCGAGATGGAGAATTTAATGAAGTCTGGGCTAAAAAGGTTTTCCAGGGTCCCTACCATCCAAAAAGGAATTCTGCAGAACTCTACCCTCACTCTAATTCTGAAGGGCACCCTGACTTATTTTCTAGGCAGTTAACTGACCATAAGGGTCCAGTAGACAACGAACAACTAGTCATAGGATATTCCACACAGTACCCACAATACTCTGTGATTAACAGCTCTAGATTTTTCTTTTCTTTTTTTTCCGTTTCCCCTGCCCTGCAGCTCTAAATTTTTCTTTATCTTGACACCTATGGTGCTTTAGAGGGGAAGAGTAAAAAACAAAAGATACTATTCTTGGATTGGGTTTGGAGCTTAGAAATCATCATTCTCAGGGCCAAACCCCAGAGGGGTGTGTCACAATGCCTCAGGGTTGAATGTGTCCAGAGATAATAGCTGAAACCAGCATCCAGCTGAAATCTCACACAGTTTCTGGTCATATTTTGCTAGTTGCTTTATAATTTTATATTCATGTAGTAGCTCAACTCAGCTCTACTTAAGGATAGCACTACAGGCAACAAAATAAAAAGATATATTTCATTTTTAGCAAGCATCGCTAATGACTAGAAACAGGTGTGACAAGGTCTTAACCATTTAAAGGATTTATTTTAATTAATAAGGAATAGTCTGTGGTAAGAGAAATTAGTTTGCTAGAAACATTTTATTCTTGCGGAAATTTTGCATTAGTTCATCGGATGTTGATTACACAGATTTATAGACAGAACTATGGTGCTCTGGGCAGAGTTACGGTTGTATATTACATGTGGTTAATCAACTTTGATTAATTTGTATATTATTAAAGAAAAGAGAGACTTCTGTCAGCTTCACCACTTCAGTAATTACCTCTATAGGTGCCCAATATATGCGTGATTACACTTTTTGGAACTGCTTAAGTGATTAGGTATTTCATATTTTTATTTCTTAAGGCTTTTATTTTAAAAGCTTTTCAAAACAGTAAGATTTTTTTCTAATTAAAGCTCAAGGGACAATAAACATGGCCTCACATCTCCGTGATACCATGGAATGTTTTGTCCAGTGAGAAAATGTACTCCTAGAATCGCAGCCTATGGCTTCCCCTAGCTATGCTCTCTGCTGCTGGCATCCTTGTCAAGAGAAGCCACTGATAAATGAAAACACCTATGATATTTAAAAACAAAATATAGGACTCTGGGCATAAGAAAAGGAGATGACAATCTAACTTATTATTTTCATTCCTTTTAACTCTCCCAATCACAGCTTATGTGTCCCTCTCACTAGATCCTAATCTCCTGGAGGGAGGGGTACAGTCTATTCATCTTGGTTTCCCAGAGTGCCTCACACTCAACAGATTCAGAATAAACATCTACTGAACCAAGATGAACTCAATGAACTTTAAGGCCACATTGTAGAGTCCGCCTTTACCCCACCCAAAACAATGAGATGTGATTTTAAGATACAACCCTCTGAATATTAAGTGGTATATATTCTTTACCTTGAGCACAAGTATAGTGGCAAGATTGACAGTAATATACCATAAAGACAGAACAGAATCCAAATGGATAATAGGGCATCTACTGGCTACTGTATCCTGTAGAAACTTCAGAGGATGACTATTTCCAGTGGAAATCACATCGAAGGGCATGCTAGAACTTGCAGTTTCACTTCACAGACAGATGTTTACATACCTTCAAGTGGATAGATTTGGACAGGGGCTACTTACTTTTGAATAACTTGTGTAAGATGATGTACTTGCATTTGAAATCTTACCTGAAATTAACTTCCAGCCCTTTAATACAGAAGACCTGCCATCTTATACAATCAACACTTTAAAAAAGTATAATTAATCTTTGCAGAGACAATGTACATATACATATATCTACTTTGTTATTTTTACATATTATTCACACATATACAGCTGCTTACCAAATAATTCCTCCCCAGAAGAATGAGAAAAATACATAAAAGGCTAAAGAACCCCAAATCACAAAGTGATTTATCCATGTCCAGAAACGAGTATCCAAGGCGAGCTGAAAAGATACAACACAGGAGATTTCATGATGGGTACATACTACACCAGGCAGTTAAGTACACTATGCTATCTGAGAACTTGCATACATTATGATACCTATGGGAGGATCTCGCCTGGGCCAGGCAACTAGAAGAGAGGGAAACTAAAAGAAGAACAGAATCCAGACTTTTCAAAGAGCTAGGGTAAGAACGAGCTAAGTTCTGTTCCAAGGTCTCCAGACCCAAGAGGACAGGCTTGGAGGTGTGATCAAGCAAGTAGCAGGTAGGTATGGGGCTGCAGATTCCTCACTACTGAAGGAAGGGCAGGCATTGAGGTAACTGTAATATCCTCAGACTGGAGCCCCAGGTCCTCAGGTGGTGGTGGCTGGGAAGCTGATGATAAAAGCAGAAGGCCTAGCTGGTGGAGGCAGGTATACTGAAAAGCAGTAGGAGGGGGAAAGGTTAGTTAGGAAGAACAGACAAACTACACAAACTACACAAAGGAACCTTGATAGCTCAAACACAACAGACGGGGGTTATTAAATGCAAAGGCAACTAGCTCTATACACCTGGCACCATGTAGCAATGAATCATGGGCCTGACTATGTAGTGTGCCTTTCAATTACAAAACCGTTATCTAATCCATTAAATTAATAACATTTTCAGTTGCCTTAGATTTTAATCCCTCCCTGTTTCTGCCAGGGCTGATTGTTTCTTTAGATTGTGGGACCTGGGATTTTCAAATGCAATCTAAAAATAAAGAAGTATGGTCTGTTCTGCTTGTTTAAAATTTCTGGGCCACATGGACTGACATCCAGGGCATTTGATTCTTGAAGAGGAGGTGGTGTCTCCGTTTTTTTTTTTCTTACTTGCTGTGACACCCTGGTCCTCGACTCCCTGTTCTAAGTTTCTTGTTCATAAGCAGGATGTTGAGAACATCATTAATGTAGACCAGGCTTGAATTCCCACCTCTGGGCTGCTAGGGAGAAGGTCACGATAATATCCATCCGAAGATGAGAGAATGAACGTCTTTTGAGGGACACATGAAAGATGCTACAGTAAGGCCAACTTTAACTACGAAGGCCACTTGGGAGCCCTGGGGCCATATGCAAGACCAGGGGAAACAAAGGTGGAGAGGCTTCCGTGTCAAATCATGATCCTGTGAAAGGTAATAATAAATAGCAACAACTAGCATCTATTGTTCTGATCACATTCTATGTGCCAGACACCACTCTAAATGCTTTATGTGTATTCACTAATTGACTTCCCACCAAAAATCCTAAGAGAGGAAGGTACTACTTTTATCTCCATTTTGTAGAAAAAGAAGAAATGAGGGTACTGAGAAACGAAGTCACTTGCCCAAAAATAGCAGCTAGTAAGTGGCTAAATGGAGATGAATTGTTTAACATCTTCTTTTGCAGTCCTACAATATTACTGAAATAGTAGATGAAAAATGCAAACATATGTTAGTTCTATTTGGTATGAGAAATGAATCAGGAATAAAAACTTAGAGGGGAAATGACTAGAGGTTCTTTGTCAATCATACTTCTGGGATTCTAGTTTTGACCACTGGGCATACTGGAATGCATTTATTCATTCTTGGATCCCAGGTGAGGTGCTTATTACTGGAATGATCATCAAAAGAATTTGATTATGCTTTCAAGTATAAGAGAGTCCCAACTCATAAGTCTCAAGGGTAGAATTCAGCAAGGCTTCAGAGTATATTACATGGCTGCATGTTAATGCCAATGATTCTTGTATGTTACCTGCTGTATATTGTTATGCATTTCATCACTAATATGGATAAATTTCAGTGATAAATACATTATATGAAATTTCATCACTCCTGAGCTCTTTTGCACACATATCTTGCTCATGGATACCTATTCAACTGTCTTAAGTACTCCCATTCCTTTGAGGCCTGGTGTTTGTAAACACAATCTTAAAAACTATTCAAGTATTTAACATAGAAACACACACACACACACACACGCACAGCCTATTTATATACTGCTTATACTGTCTTGAAAGAAGAAACAGATTTTCAACTATGGTATATGAATTTTTTTTTTAAATGAAACAAATTAAAGAAGATAGACAATATTCTGGAAAAAAAATGGATCACAAATAGCATACAAATGTCTAAATATCTAATATCATACATATTTTAGTAAGTATTCAGACTTGAATAACAACCTGCAATACAAGTAAAGAGAAGACAAAAAAGAGAGAATAGTGTGAGACCGGAAAGAATTACAAAAGTGGTGTTAAATATATTTGAATAAATAAAAATCTAACCTTCAGAGTTACAGTGAATACTAAGACTGTAAAAACAATGGTTCCAAAAGTCCAGTTTCCATATACCTGCAAAACATTTAACAATTACACGCACCATGAATACACAAGCCTGCTTACGAAAATAAAAAGGCAAATTTAATCTTGGGTGTAACTGCTAAAAATATGGCTATAAAATGTTTAGGGAAGTATCTGATCAAAAGATCAGGCCAAAATGTTGGATTTTACTGTGACCCTAAATTTTCTTGGACAGCTACAACACACTTGCAGTTGGTAGGGTTTACTTCCATTACTCCATGTAGTACTGAACAGGGAACACACTGGTATAATAAAGGCAGGAAAAAAAACCCTATTCCACTAACAGTAATGTTCATCAAAACAAGTCATTTGAATGATTCACGGCTCTACAGAGTTTGATATGGGCTTTCTCTGTAATAAAGAACTAAAGCTCTCAAATGAGAACTAATTTGTAGACAAATGGACTCTTATTTTAAAAATAGAGTCTAATTTTTTGGCGGTAAATATTAGAGCTGTCAGCATGTGCACATTAAAGAAAAGCAGGGAGCATGTACAAGTCAATAACTATGGCAATGAATGGCACATATGCTTACCAAATGCTGTCAAGATCTGAATGCATAACATTAAAACAGAAAATGAAATGTAAAACGTTTTAAAAAAATAAAAAAAACTAAGATTAACAGAAGCAAAAAAAAAGGATTTGATCAAATCATACATGGTGCTCTGTTTAATCACTGATAGCAGTTCTTACACTTATTGTAATTTTAGCAAACATTTAGAAGGATGGTGACATCTATGGTCAAGTCTAATTTGGTTTTCACAAACCCAAAATGGGTAATGGATAAGACATAGGCTGGGCTGGAGCTCCCTAGGCGCCACCCAAAGAGTTTGCTGAGCAAATGAGCCAGGTCAACAGGAACGCAGGAGAGTACCCACCTGCTTTGCAGCAAGCTCTTTTTAAGAAATCATCAGCTCTTTATGATTTATGCGCCAAATAAAATCAAATGTGAAAGTCACAGAATCAGCCATAATGCTAAAGGGACCTGAGAGATCACAGAATCTAATCCCTTCTTAACTGACGTCCAAAGCTGACTTGGAAGGCTGAAATGACTGGCCTGCAGAGATTTAGCAGGGTACTTTCCTTGACCAGTGCTACGTGCATCTCCTTAAGTACTACATCTATTTCCTCCACAGTTACTCAGTGATTAATACTTTTTTTAAAGTAACCTTTATGCCCAGTGCCCAAAGTGGGGCTCAAACTCACGACCCCGAGATCAAGAGTCACATGCTCTATTGACTGAGTCAACCAGGCGCCCCCAGGGATTAATATTTCTAAGGGATTCATATTAAACTGACTTGTGTTAGTCTAAATTAGAAAGGTTTTAGACTGTAGTACCTAATTTCAGAGTATCTTTCATATTCATTGGGCCTATTACTTCTGTAACAGATGTTGACTGTGTAGGTTCTGGACAGTTACTGTACTCAGTAAATTATTTTTGAACCTTTGCTTTGCTTCACATTATAAGGATACAGAATGAGTAACCATTAAACAAGAACCCCAGAAATAGCAAAGAATGAACATAGTGAAAGCAGAGGTGAAGCGGTGGGCTCGAGTCTCATCGTGTGGCTGTGGCAAGACCTTGGCCTATCAGCCGTGCTCTCCCAGAACACAGCCAGGGGAAAATCATCCCACTGCAGGTGCTGACTTATGTAGTCGCTTGCTAGGAAGGCACTGGTAGGATGAGTGTAGTCTTTCTGGAAAACACTATGCTCCCATGTGGAAGGGAAAGAAGAAGAGAAGGGAATCCGTCCCTTTAACTATCGGGCTAACGCTGCAAAGACAGGGTAGCTATGCCCTTCAACTCCAAGCACGAAAGGCCACTATCAATAGGAAGTGAGTGGGGCCAGACTTTTAAAACAGGAAAAGTCTGGGGGCGCCTGACTGGCTCAGTCAGTAGACCATGCAACTCTTGATCTTGGGGTCCTGAGTTCAAGCCCCATGTTGGAGGGTAGAGTTTACTTAAAAAAAAAAAAAAAGGAAAAGTATAGGAGGTCTAAATTCTGAGGTCCTAAGAACTCTGTACATCTATTAAAAATTACAGCCAAGTTAAGCTTCCAGAAGGTTTGCACAGAAGCTCTCTAGTTAGCCACGCACACGGGAAGTGGTTTCTTACTTCAATACTTCTGTTCTAAAAAAGTTCTAAGAACTAAATATTGTACCTCAAGAAAAAGTTTACAAAATGATTACAGCTAGATTATGTGTATGATAAATCCAGTACCTACAGAAAAATAAGCCATGCTTACTATACCAAGATGTAATGAAGTATTTTTTTACCTTTGCATTTTCTTCTAGGGATGAAGTCTGAAAAAGAAAGTAAGTACCAAAGAAGAACACTGTCCCTTCAAATGCAGCTAGAAATGTCCAATATAAGAAGGGTCCCAACTGTAGCATGGCATTGCCAGAAATTTTCCTATTGAGAAATGGACAAAGAAACCACAGGTTAATGAATCTCTGTGAATCTCTGTAGGCTGTCTATTTAAAGATCCGGTGAAAGGCCAAAAGTGCACACAGGTGTGACCCTGTTATAATGAAGAGAGGCATCCCCGAGGGACTGGAGGGCCATACTGATCTGCAGGTTCATCTCCGTGCAATTGCCTCTGGACTGAGGCACTGAGTAAATAGTCAAAAGCACTAAGTTTAAAATCCTGGCCATAGACAACAGTAACAACATCAAAAATAATTAGCTCCCATTTATTGAGTACTTCTTTTATGTCAGTAAACTGGGTTAAGAGTTTTATATATATTGTCCATTTTTATCCACGAAAAAACCACACGAGATAGGTATTTGTCAGTCCCATTTACAAATAATGAGACTCCGAAAGATGTATCATAATGGTTCCCAAACTATAGTGCACACTGGAATCACTTGGGGGATCTTTAAAAACACTGATGCCTGACTCCCACCCTCATTCTGATTTAACTGGCATGAGGCGTAACCTGGGCATAAGGATATTTCTGAAGCTCCCCAGGTGACTCTAATGTGTGGTAAATTTAGAAACACTAGTGCAGGAGCGCGCCTGAGTTCATTCAGTTAGTAAGGGGACGCATTGATATACCGCCATAGATTGACCTGACTTCAAGTCATATGCATATGCTCTCAACCAAGCTACCATGGCTTTTCCAACTACAATTGCTGAGATATTTCTTTTAATCAAGATTTCTTGGGAATGTAACCTTTTTTAGGTCTCAGGGTACCCTTTATATTTTTTCAATTGAGTCAAATGTTTCAAGCTGTAGAGTCATGTTTTCATAAATACTAGGTGGATTGAAACTTTAAAATCTGTTAAAATAACACAATCTTCTAGGCACAAGTCAGAGTGTTAAATATGGCTACTAATTCTAATGGAGCAGAGGTGCAGAAAGAAGATGGGTTTGTGCAAGGAATTCTTTTGGCTTCTATTTCAAATTGCTCTTTTTTTTAAGAGAGAGAGAGTGGGGCAGAGAGAGGGAGAGACAGAATCTTAAGCAGGTTCCATGCTCAGTTGAGGAGCCCGACGTGGGGCTTGATCTCACGACCCTGAGATCATGACCTGAGCCAAAATCAAGAGTCGATTGCTTAACCAACTGAACCACCCAGGCCCCCCTCAAGTTGCCCTTAACATTTATCAGAAGGTAGCTCATCACTCACACTGTTGCCAATACCATATAGAACATCTCTTGGCTTTATCGAATAAACACCTTTATAATGTAAATGCAAGTGATCCTTGTTCACTTAGTATTGAGTACTGTGGGGTTTTCTGAAAACATGGCAATTATGTAACTTTTACCTAATAGGATTTCCAGGTGCATGAAGGAATTTGAAATTCGGGGGATGCATGATGGCAATGTGTCAGTGTTTGCCCTAGAAAAACTGCAGAAGGAAAGAGGTGGCTGCTTCTCAGAAACAAGCTCCCCCCACACATAAGTCACATTGTCAAGGCAACTGGGAGCCACAAGGAAAGCACCTTCCTAAAGATTCTTTTTTTTTTTTTAAGATTTTATTCATTTATTTGACAGAGCGAGAGAAGGAACACAAGCAGGGGGAGTGGGAGAGAGAGAAGCAGACTCCCCACTGAGCAGGGAGCCCGATGCGGGGCTCGATCCCAGGACCCTGGGATCATGACCCGAGCTGAAGGCAGATGCCCAACGACTGAGCCCCCCAGGCGCCCCCTTCCTAAAGATCAATGAGTGCCCAGCAACCACCAGTCCATGAGGCTTTTGCGAGTCACTGAATTTGGGCTGAGGCAAGAGTGAATCCTGTGTTTCTAGACTGTCTCTGGGAGCTACCTTACACACCGTGGGAAGTAGGGCAGGGCATCATGGTATGTTGGGTGACATTCGAAGCTTTCTAGCTGCCCTCAAACAGATGACAAAGCTGTTGGAAACTCAGAGTATGACAGCTGCCATGACTGAGAACATGAGAGAAAATGAAGATTTGGGGGGCAGTCGCCCTGTCGCACAGGCCTGAGCACCTCCCTCTGATGGGAAGCGGCAGGTGTACCGGAATCTTTCTTTCACCTTTTAAAGCTGTAGAAGAAACAAACTATGCCTCTTCCCTCTCTAGAACAACAGTTTACTATTTAAATTTCTCTTAAAAGCATGAAAATATCCGAATAGATCGTTTCGTGTCACAAAATATTTGACAAGTGCCTGAGTCACTACGTCCCTGCAGGTGAAATTTGTAGTATGCCACACGATGCCAGCCACAATATTAAGTGGTACGGCTGCAGAGAGGGCCACAGAGGGTGACTAGGGCTTCATGTTTCCAAAGGAATAACTGGAGTAACAGAGCACTCTACAGTACAGTGACAGGCTGAGATCCGTGTAGCAAGTATACCCTCTGGAAAATCACCTCCACCTGTAGTTCCCTACCTCAAACTTCATGGACACCCTTAAAATAATTGGTACTCAACAGCTTTCTGCAGGTTTTCAACATTCTTGATGTATGAAAACGCTCAGCACAGCCCTGAAGTTACGTGGAGGAGGGTGTTAGAATAAGATTAATAGCTCCCATCTAATTGAAAACTATGTGCCAGGGACTGTTTTAAATTGTTTAACATGTAGTCACTCACTGAATCCTCACAAGAACACTGGGATTGGCTGCTACTGTTACCCACATTTTACCGAAGGTGAAACCGAGGCACATGACAAAGTCACACAGTTAGACAGGAGTGAACGGGGACTGGAGTGCGGTCTGCTGGCTGGAGCTCTTGCTGGGACTGAATGGGAGGGATTCCGCCCACTGCCGCCCGAATCCCACTTTAGCGGGAGCAGCCGCACTAGGGAACTTCACTTTAGTTTTGTCTGGAGACAAACACTGCTGGTCAGTGTTTGAAAACCGCCACGCAGCTGGGAAGCGCATGGGGCTAGTCATCAGGGGGACTAAATTCCGATCTTGATTTGGCCTCTAGTTACACCATGTGTCCTCAGGTGAGTCATTTCTGGGCCGTGGTTCCTCATTTAAAAAAGAGCATGGGAGCTGATGCTCTGTCAGATTTCTCCCAGGGCTTCTATGATTCCCCTCTAGATATAACTATCCCCTTGCCACAAATGCAAGGAAAAGAAGAACATGCTAATACCAGAAGAATGCAATCAGCAAACTCCAGATTGGGGTGAACGCTGCAAGATAAATGACCCAGTTTTGTCAACAAATAAATTGCCAGGTTAACCTACAGATCAAAACAGACTCAAGAAGCATATTAACTAACTACAACATATGGACCTTATATTCTGATTCAAACAAGCATGCTATAAAAAGAAATGAGTCAACCTGGGGGCACCTGCATGGCTCAGATGGTTAAGCATCTGCCTTCAGCTGAGGTCATGATCCCAGGGTCCTGGGATTGGGCTCCCTGCTCAGCAGGGAGTCTGCTGCTCCCTCTCCCTCTGCCCCTCCCCACCATTCATGCTCGAGTGCTCTCTCTCCCAAATGAATAAATAAAAAAATCTAAAAAAAAAAAAATGTGTCAAATGGAGAAATTTGAACCTTGACTGGATGTATGATAATATTATGGACTTTAACGTTAAAGTTTTAGGTATGACAGGGTACTGTTATTTTTTTTTAATATTTTATTTATTTATTCATGAGAGACAGAGAGAGAGAGAGAGGCAGAGGGAGAAGCAGGCTCCCAAGGAACAGGGAGCCCGATGTGGGACTCGATCCCAGGACCCTGGGATCATGACCTGAGCCGAAGGCAGACGCTTAACCATCTGAGCCACCCAGGCGCCCCAGGGTACTGTTATTTTTTTAAGTCCTTATCTTTTTAAGAGATACTTACTGAAATAACTATTTTGTATAGTGTTTGGTACTGTTATTTTTTTAAAGTCCTTATCTTTAAGAGATACTTACTGAAGTAACTATTCTATATAATGTTTGGTATTTATTAAAAAATAAGTCTGCAATAGAGCAAACAGGGTTACTCATGAAATAGGATAGACCCTGAACTGATAATTATTGAAGCTATGAGTAGTGAGGATAGGGCAGTTCACTCTATTAACAGTATTTTTGCTACTACTGTGCATGTTTGAAATTTTCAATTTTTCCATCTTTAAAATAATGACAAACTTCATAAAGCTAGTTAAGTCCAACAATTACTAAATGTAACTTTTATGAGTCATACTGGTTAAAGAAATCCCTTAAATTTGTGCACCTTCACTTCATACAAATAAACCACCTGAGTCGCTCTACTGCACTTGCTATCCATTATTTAGCAATGATTATCATCTGCTATAAATTAACATCTTCATCCTTAGGTGCAGGCTTAACTTATAAAAACCTAATTAAATCGTATGTTAAGCAACTGGCCAAGTACCCCATCCATAGAGAAAAGCATCCATTTACAACTGACACAAAATGGATATAATGGCTTGATGAGTTATTTTCTTCAGCAATACAGTTTTATTTATTTTTTAAAGAAGATTTTATTTATTTATTTGACAGAGACAGCGAGAGAGGGAACACAAGCAGGGGGAGTGGGAGAGGGAGAAGCAGGCTTCCCGCTGAGCAGGGAGCCCGATGCGGAACTCGATCCCAGGACTCTGGGATCATAACCTGAGCCGAAGGCAGATGCTTAATAACTGAGCCACCCAGGTGCCCCAGCAATACAGGTTTTAGAACGGCGCTAACAGGGCGCCTGGGTGGCTCAGTCGTTAAGCGTCTGCCTTCGGCTCAGGTCATGATCCTGGAGTCCCTGGATCGAGTCCCGCATCGGGCTCCCTGCTCGGCAGGGAGTCTGCTTCTCCCTCTGACCCTCCTCCCTCTCATGTGCTCTCTCTCATTCTCTCTCTCTCAAATAAATAAATAAAAAAAAAATCTTTAAAAAAAAAAATAAAGAACGGCGCTAACAAAGTAGAGGAGGCTACGCTTCTGGGGCAGTTTAAGTCTCGGAGCACTTGAGTGGCTCAGTCGGTTAAGCAATCAACTTCTGGTTTTGGCTCAGGTCATGATCTTGGGGTCGTAAGATCGAGCCCTGCGTTGGGCTCCATGCTCACTGAGTCCGCTTCGGATTCTCTCCCTCTCCCTCCCCTTCTGCCCCTGACCTCACCCACTTGTGCGCACACACTCTCTAAAATAAATACATAAAATCTTAAAAAAATAAAAGAAAATCTAACATTATATCAGTTCAACCCATTATAGGTAGGAATCAATACTCTATAAATCTTCGTGTGTGCCCCCCCCCTTTTTTTTTTGGTAGTTAAAATAATGTGTCTTCGTGTGAGACTCCAGAACTCTATGACAATGTAGGTTCAAGTTTTAGCAGTTAGTGATTTTGGACTAGATGGTTCACATACATTCATGGACAGGACCTACATCTAGGACATACACCATTTTCCTATTGAATGGTCGAGTTTAAGTAGCTAAAAATTCAGAACAGAACCATGCAATCAAATCAGGTGGGCAATTGTGTCCTTCCTACCTGTGGATGAAAAGAAATCCACGATTTTGAAAGTCTGTAGTGGTTTTTAACAACGTGCTCTACTTACATATACAATCGGGGATCTGAGGTCAGAGTGTCAATGTTGATGTGCTGCTCCAGCAGGCTGTAGGCCAGGATGGGTAAGGATGTGAAGCAGATATTGTACATTGTAAGGTAAGCGGCATCATACAGTGGCTGAAATGACAAACAACAGAAGAAAAAACGTATGTGTTTGGAAAAACAACAAGCTGAATCCAGACAGTTTCCTTTCACATTTGTCGTGATAGCAAAAGAAGTTTATAAATAAGGCCACTCTCACTGATAACTGTAGAAAAGAAATGAACATATTGTGATATATCATATTAATATATCCTCCCTTTCCACAGGATCTTATTCAGAATGTATACATGCTATAAGGTCTATTTCTAACAAATATTTACTAACAGATTTTGAAAAGATTTCTCAGTGAACAAAGACCAATTAAATATAAGCCTGGAACCCCTCAGGGAGACTGTGTCATCGTGGTTTTGTTGTTGTTAATATTTTACATAGTTTTAAGTATCACTATAACTTTCTCTAGGCTGTATTTATGATATTGAATGTGGCCATTTACTAAGGATTAAATAAACGTATTTGCAAAAACAAAGCTAAAAATAGGTACACAGGCATGACTTCCTTAGGCTCCAGACCCAAATCTCCACCTTTCTGTTGGCTGTCCCATAGGCATCTGCAACTCAAAATGTCTAAAACCAAACTCATTAACTTTCCCCTTAAATTTGCTTTCTCCTATGTTCTCTATCTCAGTGAAGAGCCCCTACAATGTTGCAACCAGAGTCCCTATCTTGGTGCCTGGCACCATCTGGGTGCTCAAGAAATATTTTGAAATTAGTGATTCTCCTATCTCACTAGCCATTTCTTTAGTCTCCTATTCTGCCTGAGCCCTCTGCTGGAGTGTTCCAGCACTCAAGTGTTTGGAACTTCATACTCACTCTCTAGGTGATCTCACCAGGTCTGTGTTTTAACACCATCCATTCACTGAACATTCCCAAGTATTTTTCTCTGGCCCAGACCTGTCCCTACGTATCTAGTTACCCACTTGTTACCTCTTGGAAATGTATTTCAAACCTACATCCAGAACTGAGCTCCTTAGCTCAAACGGGCTCCTCTTGAAGTGTTCCCCATCTCAGGAAAGGGCAACTAAATCTTGGTGATCAAGCAGAACCAAAATCTTGGATTCATCCTTGACTCTTTTCTTTTTCATACCCACATCCAGTCAATTCAGGAGTGTTTACTGGCTCTACCTTCAAATATATTCAGAACCAGATCACTTCTCAGCATCTCCACAGTTACCACCCTGCAAGCTTCCTAAATGGCTCCCTACTTCTCCCCTTGATCTCCAGTCCACACAATGGCCCGAGTAGTTCTGTCAGAAAGTAAGCCAAATCAAGTCATTATTTTGTTCAAACTCGGCAGTGGATTCCTTTATCTCTGAAAGTTAAAAAAAAAAAAAAAAAGGTTCCTACAAAGGAGTGGCTATCCAGTCCCACTTGATCTGGCTTCTTCTGTCTGGCCTTCTCTCTTAGATCTCTCCTGCTCCTTGCCCTTCCTCACTGTACCTCCAACATGTCAGGCACACTCCTGATTTAGGACTTCCTTTGAACTTGCTGTTGCCCCTGCCTGGAACATTTTTCCTTTAGAGAGCCTCATGGATTACTCCCTCACTCACAAATATCAGCTCAAATGTCACTTTCTCAGAGAGACCAACCTTGATTTAAGTTGCTACTCCCTTTCTCACGGACATATTTCCCCTGTTATCTTGTTTTTTATTTTCCTATAGTACTAATCACCTTTTATCTTGTTACACATTTATTATTTTTACTGTCTCTCTTCACACTAGAATTCAAGCTCTACACGGGCAGGGATTTTTATCTACTTTATCAACAGGCATAGACTGAGAGAAACAGGCAGCCCCTAACATCTAGAAACTGTCCTGGCACTCACAAGCTAGGCAATGGTGTTCTGTCGAACACGAACAATTTCATCGAATAACAACATCAAACAAGGCTATTCTGTCACCATGACGGATCGAGACAAGAACATCAACCCATAATCACGTTGAACACAGAATATGAACATTGTCCAAATCACATTAACCAATATCCCTGTTCTGGCAAATATGGGTGACTACTGTTTCTTCACCAACGACAGTGGTAGCCTCCTAGTCTTTAAGCCTCCTGGTAAGATGCACTGAAATGCTTAGTCATAAAATTACCCCCACTTACTGACAGCACCCAATCTAGAGCAAGCCCCGCTCATCTTAAACTTTTCCCCAAATAGGGGCGCCTGGGTGGCTCAGTTGTTAAGCGTCTGCCTTCGGCTCAGGTCATGATCCCAGCGTCCTGGGATAAGCCCCGCATCAGGCTCCCTGCTCAACAGGAAGCCTGCTTCTCTCTCTCCCACTCCCCCTGCTTGTGTTCCCTCTCTCGCGGTGTCTATCTGTCAAATAAATAAATAAAATCTTAAAAAAAAAAAAAAAATTTCCCCAAATGACCTAATTCAAACCCAAATCTTTTTTTTTTTTAAAGGATTTTATTTTTAAGTAATCTCTATACTCAATACGGGGCTCGAACTCACGACCTCGAGATTAAAGGTTGCACACTCTACTGATGGAGCCAGTCAGGTGTCCCAAACCCAAATCTATGATTTTTCTAATACTCTCTTCCCGAGAGGCTCCACTGTTCCTCATGTTACTTTCATAATCTGTTTTTGTTTTGTTTTTATATCATTTATTTCTGCTGTAATTTTTATTATTTTCCTTCTTTTGCTGGCTTTAGGCTTTATTTGCTATGTTGTTCCTTTTCCAGCTCCTTTAGGTGTAAGGTTAAGTTGTGTATCTGAGACTTTTCTTGCTTCTTTAGGTAGGCCTGTATGGCAATATACTTCCCTCTTAGAACCGCCTTTGCTGTATCCCAAAGGTTTTGGACTGTCATGTGTTCATTTCCATTTGCTTCCATGTATTTTTAAAAATTTCTTCTTTAATTTCCTGGTTGATCCATTCATTAAGTAGGATGTTCTTTAACCTCCATGTATTTGTGGTCCTTCCAAATATTTTCTTGTGGTTGACTTCAAGTTTTAATGCACTGTGGTCTGAAAATACGCATGGTATGATCTCAATCATTTTGTACTTTCTGAGGCCTGTTTTGTGACCCAGTATGTGATCTATTCTGGAGAATGTTCCACGTGCACTCGAAAAGAATGTGTATTCTGCTGCTTTAGGATGAAATGTTCTGAATATAGCTGTTAATCCCATCTGGTCCAGGGTGTCACTCAAAGCCCTTGTTGATCTTCTGCTTAGAGGATCTGTCCATTGTTGTGAGGGGGGTGTTAAAAGTCCTCTACTATTACTGTATTACTGTCAATGAGTTTCTTTTTATTAATTGACTGATTTATTTGGGTGTTCCCAAGTTGGGGGCATATTTACAATTGTTAGATCTTCTTGATGGATAGACCCCTTAGTTATGATATAATGACCTTTTCCATCTCTTGTTACAGTCTTTATGTATTTTTTATTAAAGATTTTTATTTATTTGACAGAGATAGACACAGCAAGAGAGGGAACACAAGCAGGGGGAGTGGGAGAGGGAGAAGCAGGCTTCCCATGGAGCAGGGAGCCCGATGTGGGGCTCGATCCCAGGACGCTGGGATCATGACCTGAGCTGAAGGCAGGTGCTTAACAACTGAGCCACCCAGGCGCCCCACAGTCTTTGTTTTAAAATCTAGTTTGTCTGGGGCACCTGGGTGGTGTAGTTGGTTAAGTGTCCGACTCTTGGTTTCGGCTTGGGTTGTGAACTCAGGGTCATGAGTTGAGGCCTGTGTTGGGCTCAGTGATCATTGCAGAGTCCACCTGGGGCTCTCTCTCCCTCTCCCTCTGCCCCTCCCTTCCATGCTCTCTCTCATTCTCTAAGATAAATAAATAAATCTTAAAAAAAAAATCTAGCTTATCTAAGTATGGCTACTCCAGCTTTCTTTTGATGTCCATTAGCATGACAGATGGTTCTCTATCCCCCCACTTTTTTTTGAGGGAGAGAGAGAGAGAGAGTGTGTGTAAACGGGGAGGTGGGGAGCGGCAGAGAGAGGGAAAGAGAATCTGGTTTTTTTTTTTTTGAGAAAGAATCTCAAGCAGGCTCCACGCCCAGTGCAGAGCCCAACATGGGGCTCAATCTCACAACTCTGAGATCATGACCTGGGCTGAAATCAAGAGTCAGACGCTTAACCAAATGAGCCACCCAGGTGCCCCCATCCCTTCACTTTCAATCTGCAGGTATCTTTAGGTCTAAAATGAGTCTCTTGTAAGCAGCATATAGATGGATCTTGTTTTTTTATCCATTCTGATACCCTATGTCTTTTGATTAGAGCATTCAGTCCATGTACATTCTGAGTGATTATCAAAAGAGATGAGTTTAGTGCCATTGTGTTACCTGTATAATTGGTGTTTCTGGTGATGTTCTCTGGTCCTTTCTAGTCTTTGTTGATTTTGGTCTTTTTTTTTCTTCCACTCAATGAGTCCCCCTTAAAATTTCTTTGCAGGGCTGATTTAGTGGTCATGAACTCCTTTTGTTTTTGTCTGTCTGGGAAATAATTTCTCTCTCCTTCTATTCTGAATGACAGGCTTGCTGGATAAAGAATTCTTGGCTGCATATTTTTCCCATTTGGCATGTTGAATATTTCCTGCCACTTCTTTCTGGCCTGCCAAGTTTCTGTGGACAGATCTGCTGCAAACCTGATCTGTCTTCCCTTGTAGGTAAAGGACTTTTATCCCCCGCCCCCACTGCCCAACCTCACTGCTTTCAGGATTCTTTCCTTGTCTGTATTTTGTGAATTTGACTATGATATGCCCTGGCGATGGTCAGCTTTTGTTGAATTTAATGGGAGTTCTCTCTGCTTCTTGGATTTTGATGTCTGTGTCCTTCCCCAAATTAGGGAAGTTTTCAGCTATAATTTATTTGAATAAACCTTCTGCCCTTTTTTCTCTCTCTTCACCTTCTGGGACTCCTATGATACGAACATTATGTTTTAATAAGTCATTTAGTTCCCTAACCTATCTTTGTGGTTCATTACCTTTCTTTCTCTCTTCTTTTCAGCTTCATTATTTTCTGTAATTTTATCTTCTATTTCACTGATTTGCTCCTCTGCTTCGTCCATCCTTGTTTTTATGTCCTCCACTTGGGATTGCATCTTGGTTATATCATTTTTAATTTTGGCCTGACTAGATTTAAGTTCTTTTATCTCCACAGTAAGGGATTCTCTAGTCTTCTATGCTTTTTTCAAGCCCAGCTAATCGTCTTTTTAAAATTCTAGTTCAGACATCTTAATTATATCTGTACTGATTAAATCCCTTGCCCTGAGTTCCACTTCCTGTTCTTTCTTTTGGGGTGAATTTCTCCGTCTCGTCATTTTGTCCAGAAAAGAAGAAAATGAAACAAAAACCCCCACAAAAAACAACAAAGAAAAACCCCCCAAAACAAGAATTCCCCCCAAAACCCTAGATCCTGGGTGTGTTTTGGTCTGCTTCTTAGAAGAATCTAGATCCCAAAATAAATAAATAATAAAAGTAAACAAAAAATACAAAAATATAAAGTATATACAAATAAAAATTTGAAAAATTAAAAAAATTTATAAAATGAATTGAAAAGAAAATAAATGAAAAAACAAAAAAGTAAAAAGGAAGCTAGATCCTATTTTCCCCTAGAACTGAAGCTTTGCAGCACTCTATGATCAGTAAACTTGGTGTAAGTGAGTTGTTTGTGCCGGTCTTCTGGGGAAGCAGCCTGTTGGGATGATTCTAAGGTGGACCTGTCCTAGTGGAAATGCGCCTCCAGGGTGTAGTGGGGGCGGGGCTTGGTGTAAGCAGTTCCGGATTCCACTAGGTGGTGCTGTTTTGCTCCCTGAAGGCTCTCAGCACTGATGGGTGGGATGAATATGGTAGTGTACCACTCTCTAGCCCTAGAGCTGAAAGTTCCCACCCCCCACTCCTCAGTGAGCCCTCACAGAAGAGCAGTCAATCACTGATTTCTGTCAGAACCCTGCGTTCAACTGATCTGTGTCCGAGTTTTTTTTTTCGTTAATCTCAGGCACACAACTGAGTTTCAAAACTCTGAATTTCAAGGACTACCACAGCACAGATATGCGCTGCTCTTCTGGGGGAGGGTCTTGCCACACTTTTGCGAGTTGCTGGCCCCTGCCAGGAAAGTGGTCACATAAACGTGCAGGGATTTGCAGTTTATGGCAAAACAGGGCAGAAAGCTGGCACCAAGAATCACTGTTCTCAGCTGGCTTCTATGTTCCTATGCCTGGGAACAGTGCAACCTGTTCTTGCGACCCAGGGGATCCTCAGACCATGGTGTCCCTCCTGGGATTCCACCCTGCTTTGCCACCTGAGCACCTTTAAGTTGGGCACATCCCCCACTGTAGCAGACTTCTAAAAGTTCTGATTTTTGCACTATGGTGCTTATAATGCTTTGCAGTAGCCTCCATAAACAGGCTCCCTCCCTGCCACTCTATCTACAGCTATATATCCCCCAATTCAAATCTCTGCACCTCCTACCTTCCAAAAGGTGGTTGCTTTTCTACTTGTAGACTTGCAGTTTTTGTTCTCTTAGACCTCTGATTGATTTCTTGGTTGTTCAGAATGATTTGATAACTATGTTGCTGTGTTCAAGGGACAAGACATGCTTAGGGTCCCCCTAATGCTCCACCATCCTAACTCCCCTAGATTTAAACTCAGCAAAAATTATCTTCTGAATTGAGAAGAACCCCCAAATAGGTGTTTTGTTCCTTTTCATTTTCAAGGGAGAGGATTAGTTTGTTGGCACACAATACTATATTTTCATTGGAAACTACCCCATTTTCATAATGAGAAAATTGAAAACAACAAACATACAAACAAAAAGATTACCTGGTGAGTAATTTCGTTTTGAATTTCATTCAAACAAAAGAAGCATCAATCTACTTTTTTTCCACAATGGTACTTCAATGTTACATGAGAGATAATTATAATTCTTAGATGCATAATTAGGAGACAGAATGTCCTCAAAACAAACAACAGGTTTAGTTGATAATAGTTTCTTATTAAACCTGCTACAAATGTTTTCTTTTCACATAGGAAAAAGACCAGTACTATCCTAGCTTTGCTAAAGAAAGAGTTGCTTTTTGCTTAAAGAATCTGAATCCTGGTCCCATTTCTACATTCTCTGTAGCTTGCTCTCCAATTTCCAGGGTTGGAGAGAACATGTGACATGGACTTGAGTTGAAAAAGGGTGCCTACCTGTATGTACATATTTGCAATAATGGTTCCTACATCCAGCACTAGCACAAGGCCAAAGTAAAAAATAAAAATATTGCACATCACGCCACCACCTGAGAGAGACCTTCTTTTTACCCGATACACTTTTCCTCTAAGATGTCTGACAGTTCCCTCCCTCCTCTCCTTCAGATCTCTGCCCAAATGTCAACTCAGGGAGAACTTTCCAGATCATCTCTAAAATAGCAGACTTCTGCATTCATGCTCCACCAGTTTATAATGCTTTACTTTTTCCTTTGGAGCCTGTATCAGTACCTGACATATTTGTATGATTGCAGTCTCACCCCCTAACACTATACTGCAAGCTCCATGGGTAAGACTTTGTTTTGATCACTGTTATATCCGCAGCACTTAGCCTGGCATACAGTAGGCACTCAAGAGATACTCATTAAATGAACGGACCTACCATCTGAGCAACTGAGGAAGCCAAACATCAACTCCTATGGAAACCTCAATAGCTAAGGTAAACTAAGCAGACTCCAGACAGACTAGGGTCTGAGTCTCAGATGGCTTTATAAGGAATAAGTCCTTTCCTCATACAACTTGTGAACACACTCCTTTCAAACTAAAAACAATGTTTTAACCAGATTAAGCCAATTTCCCTTTAGCATTCTGCTACAAAATTTGAAATGTCTTTTTATTTTTTGAAGATTTTATTTATTTGACAGAGAGAGAGAGGGAGAGAGGGAGAGAGACAGAGAGAGAGAAAGTACAAGCAGGGGGAGTGGGAGAGGGAGAAGCAGACTCCCGGCTGAGCAGGGAGCCTGATGTGGGGCTCGATCCCAGGACCCTGGGATCATGACCTGAGCTGAAGGCAGATGCCACCCAAGCACCCCTGAAATGTCTTTTTAATACCTGCACTCATCCACGAAGTGAGCATTTGACCAGTAGTAATCTGGATGTTCAGACAAAGCAGATTCATCAGAATTTAGAAAACTCTCTGTAACTAAGACTGTTAGTTTTGTATACAAGAAGGCTGATGGCACTTCCTACAGCTGGTAGATGATTAATTCATAAAGCAACTCTGATGAACTGGCACCACGGGCTTGACCACAAGACACTGATGTAAGAAAGAGCATACCCAATGAAGAGGCAAGTTCTAGGGAAAGAGAGCAATCACTTTCCATTCAGAAGAACATACTGTCTTAAAAATACTGCCAAGAAATTAGAAAAAAAATCTCTTCCTAGCAGGAGGAATGAAGTATGCCTTGAAATTTAGAAACTCGGTCTCTAATATCTGCGGTGATGTTACCATTAGCTCAGCATGGCAAAATCACTGAATTGTTCATAGATTAACTGCAAAATTTCTCAGTCATTGAGCATTCCAGCTCCTGTACTGGGCTATCCTTCCACTAGAAGTGACACAAGTTCCATTCCAGTTGTTAAAGCTATAAATGTGCATGCCCATCCCACCACTTATGTATCAATATAACATATATTCTATTCTTTATGTAATAATAGATGTTCAGAAAACAATAAAGGACAAAAAAATGTAGAATTGCTCAAGTAATCCAAGGCTCTATCCAGGGATCACAGCTTCTTGGCCAGTTGAAAGATCAACATTTTTCTAGAAAATCAAACTGAGAAACTGCAAAGGTGTGAGATTTTATTTGATGAAATATTAAACTACACCATTTTAGGATTATTGGAAAGCATGGTTTACACTGATTAAAAGGAATACTCTTAGGGTTATCTCTTTAAGGTATCTCCTCCAATAGGAGGTACCAAATAACTTTCAAGAAGAAAGGAATAATAAGAACATCACTAAAGCAAAGACATAAACATTTGCTATTGTCAAAAACCAGGGCAAGAAGATCAACTGTTGAACCAAAGAATAAAAAAAAATAATAAAATTGTTTTACTTTGAACATACCTCTCTCATCTCTACAATCTAATACATAAAAAGGTAATTTATTAATGGCCAACATAAAGTACATTATAACAAATAACTAGGGAAACAAACCTGTTGTGAGAATCCACAGAAGAACTGGTACAAAAATTGTGGCAAAATGAAACAAAGGTTCTGGAAAAAAAATGTAAAAGAGAGTTAGTTTTCACTTGAACTTTCTAAACTAACACAGGATATTGTACTCCAAATAGTCTACAGTCAATCCCAAGCCCTTCTAATCATAACACAATAAATCTCTATTACAGTTATAAGCAAACAACTCAAAGACAAACGATTAACTCATATTAATACCAACTTTTGCCTTACCAAGCAGAAAGAGGATCTCACCTTATGAGAACCTCTTGCTATTCTTCCTTGAGGGAAGACATAAGCTCATACAAACACAAACATTTAGGTATTACCCCTTAAATGCCAATCTGATTTGCAAAATCAACATAAGGCAGACTGACATAAAGCTCAAAGTGTACATTTAAATTAATGCCCATAAACAGCCAGGATGTTCTTACAGTGTATGTTGACACTAACAGTATCAACTAATGCTTTACTGTCTTTATTACTGCCTCATCAAACAACTGACGTATTATTATTGATCACCTATTATATGCAAAGATGGTACTGTGGGTAATACAAAATAAATAAATAAATAAATAAAAACCCAGAGCAAAGCTTCTTACTCCTAAGGGACTTATTTAATTGGGAGAACACTAAAAACAAACAGGAAAAAATGAAAGCTGAGAATTCATAACACAGTAAAAGCCACTAGGTAGGACTATAAATACTGAAATTAATGTCTTCAGGCAAAATCACCAGAACTAGTATTTTCCAATGAGTGCCACCCGTCGTGGTAGGATGGGACCTTATTTGAGAGCTGTTCTCACTTGTTCATGATGTCTCTGGATGTCTCTTTGGGTAGCCCTTCAAGAGCCCGTTTTCGGGGTATGTCAGAAAACTAGTCTCTTTCCTTCTGTCACACATTCTCACCTAGCTAATTTACCAGGCTAGGAGGCTTGAAGCTGTTTTTAAAAATCCAATGCATCCTCGAAGGATGAACATCTGCTATAGCTGAGGGTATTTAGGTGAATATACTACAGGCTCTGGAAGCTCTTCCTAAAGAAAAGTGCTATACATGTATTGAATTAAGTCCTACAGCATCGGCGTGTCAGAGCTCCCAAGGTCACCTCTTGAAAGGGGGACACTCACATGTATGCATCAATTTTGGGAGAATGCAAAACCATACTGAAAAAAAAAAAAAAGTGCTCTGAGGTTGGAGGAGGCAGTACTCAGGGGAGTTACGGGGGTGCTTTGCGGGAAGGGAAGGTCTGACTCTCCCACTAGAATGTAAGTCCCCTGAGAACAGAGACTTTGCCGTCTTAGTCCTTATGAATCTTTAGGTCTTAAAATGGTGCTTGGCACATGGTAACACATTCAAACGTATCTACTGACTGCATAAATAAATAAATTAGAACTTGAACAAGGTGTTACAGATGGATAGGCTATGTTGACAGCATGAACCAAGGCAAGGTGCATGTATTTTATTTTTTTATTATTTATTTTTTAAAAAGATTTTATTTATTTATTTGACAGAGAGAGACACAGTGAGAGAGGGAACACAAGCAGGGGGAGTGGGAGAGGGAGAAGCAGGCTTCCCGCAGAGCAGGGAGCCCGACGAGGGGCTGGATCCCAGGACCCTGGGATCATGACCTGAGCTGAAGGCAGATGCTTAACGACTGAGCCACCCGGGCGCCCCAAGGTGCATGTATTTTAAACATATAAGGTAGGACAGGGTCAGACCGTGGAGTGCCTTAAAAGACAGGCTAATCCTTAGACAATGGAGAGTGAAGTTTCTGGAGAACAGGTTAAATAGTGGCAGTTTCCCAACGTTGACTTGGCTGAATTATGCAAGGTGGATTGAACGGAGAAACAGATGGCAGGAACACCTGTCACTGAAGCACTTCAGGAGTGAAGCAACTGTTATTTGAAGATGCAATGGCAAGGTAAGAGGAAGGAAGGCTCTTCAGCCCAGCTCAAGAGGGTTGAAAGTATTAGAAATCACCCTGGGATAAAAGGCAGCCGTGGAAAAGGAATACTGCTAAGTCAGTAACTAAGGTGATAATGAGCGCAGAGATCCTAATGAAGACAGAGGGCATTAGCTACACGAATAATTCCCTAAATTGGGAACAGGGATATGTTAATTACTGACCACAGGTAAACAGCCATTTTAATGCTTGTTTTGTTTTCCTTAACAGAGCATTCCTTCCATCTGGTGGTAAGTGCTTGAATTGCAGGCCAAAATCTTGAGGCAAACCAGGCCTCAGGAATGGGATCAGAGTGTTAGGCAGATATGCATGGCAAATCTTCATGGGCTCGCCTACTAGAGATAAGTAAGAGAATAACCACCTGTCCCCAAGTGGGGCTGTTGAATTACTTAGTTCAAGGCCTGACAGACCCTAACTGTGATGTACAAAAAGCCTTGGACTGAGAGTAAATAATCCTATTGTGGAAATCTAGCTCTGCCACCTTTGAGCTGAGGAGGGAAAGGCAAGTTTTGTAAGCTCTCTGAGCTCTGCTTTCCACATATTTTAAATGAAAATAATAGTAATTGCTCAAAGGAGATTTGTGAGGACTAAGAAAATAATGTGCTTTTGTCAACAGCAAGTATCTTACACATATTGGGTTAATCATCATTATCATCATCGTCTATGTTTGGCCGGGATACCAGCTGATACTGGATGACAGGGTCCTGGCAAATCTGTAAACCTGGGTTCACACTTATAGTATGTATGTATTTATTTTTCAAATTTTATTTTTAAGTAGTCTCTACACCCAACGTGGGGCTCAAACTCACAATCCCGAGATCAAGAGTCACACGCTCCACTGAGCCAGCTAGGCATCCCAACACGTATTTTTTTGAAAACTTTTTTTTTTTTTTTAAAGTAGGCTCCATGCTAAACGTAGGGCTCAAACTCACAACCCTGTGATCAAGAGTTGCAGCCTCTACTGACTGAGTCAGCCAGGTGCCCCTCACAGTTATGTAGGTCTTTTCGAAAATAGAAAGCTAGTAAGAACAGGGATTGATCACAGAAAACTGACACACAAAAACAGTTGCTGTGCTTTCCCTTCTGAGAAATATAGGGCATGAAATCCAAACACCGTAACGGTTTGAATCATTTAACTTGCACACAAACTTGGTAATGTACCTACAAACTAGAATCTAATTAAGAACTTTGGTAAATTCTCTCCCCTGGTAGACAAAAATGATTAGGCAAGCTCAGTCTAACATGAACTCTAATGCTCGGTGATAAAAGAAAACCAAGGTATTGTTGGGGAAATGACCTCAGTGTCCACCCATAGGGGTTTGGGATTCCACACCATTATCATGTTTTAGGTGAATAATTAACTGGGTGAGAAAACTGTTCACAATATATTATTAAGTGAAAAGGGAAAAGTGCAAAACAGTATGTTTTGGGACTGACTGCTAAAAGTATGGGGCTTCTTATGGGGTGATGGAAATGTTCTGGAATTAGATAGTGGCAATGGTTGCTCATCATAGCGAATACACTAAAAGACACCATATTGTACACTTTGAATGTATGATAGTGAATTTTGTTATGTGAAGTATATCTCAATATAAAAATTGAAAAAAAAAAAACCCAGTAGTGTATAAAAACAATATAGGGGCACCTGGCTGGCTTGGTTGGTAGAGCATGTGACTCTTGATCTTGGGGGTTTTGAGTATGGGCCCCAGGTTGGGCGCAGAGCTTACTTGGAAAAAAGAAAAAAACACCAAAAAAACCCAAAACCCAAAAACAATGTCAACACAATTTAATTTATATAGAACAGGTCACATAAAATGTCACCACTGGTTCTCTCTGTGGGTATGATTATAATTACAGATGACTTCAAAACCTTCATTTTGGAAAAAGAGTTATATATAAGAGGGATTTGAGAAAAATCATTGTTGCATGAGTTTCCTTTCGATTAGAGCATTAAGTCACTAAGCAAGATTCTCAGAGAACCTCGTCTTGAGGAGAACCATGCCAATGTTTTACATACTTAAATAATTAAAATCAATCAGGATTAGAGAGGAAGGACCAAAATGGTATGCAAACAAAAATTTAACCTAACTCTATTACAAATAAATAACATAACCACAATGAAATGGTGGAAAAGGAAAAAAAGTAATTTTGGAAATAGTATTTTGACTGTATACTCTAAGGCTAAAGACAAAAAGAAGTATATAACAAATAACTTCCTGTTACTCACAGGATTATGATAAAATAAATAATAAAATAAACTGGCCAGTTTGTAGAATGTCCCTCAATTTGGGCTTGTCTAATGTTTGCTTATCATGAGAATCAGGTTATGCTTTTTTGGCACCAATACCATAGAAGTAATGTTGTAACCTGCTCAGTGCATCATATCAGGTATTGGTGCCAAAAAAGCATAAACTGGCCAGTACTCTTCGAAAATGTTAAGATCACGAAGACAAAGAAGATAGCAGTATTCCAGTGTAAAGAAGACTAAGGAGGGGGCGCCTGGGTGGCTCAGTCCATTAAGCGTCTGCCTTTGGCTCAGGTCATGATCTCAGGGTCCTGGGATCGAGCCCCGTGTTGGGCTCCCTGCTCAGTGGGGAGTCTGCTTCTCTCTCTCTCTCTGCCCCTCTCCCCTGCTCATGCTCTCTCTCTCTCCAAAATAAACTAAAAAAAAAAAAAAAAAAAAA